ATTTCAGCAATCGTCCCTTCTTTTGCCATATCCAAACTAAATTGATTATATTTATATATTGGTTTTGCAGATACGTCGCTCTTGCTCTTTTATATATATATACACTAATCTTTTGTGTGACGATGCATTGCACGTTGACTATATTCGTTATAGTTTTTTACACTCTTTTAATTTTTTTATCTATATAATCTTAAAGCATAAATTTTTGTTCAAATTAAAATAAATACAATTGATTAATTTGTATTATATTTTGTCGTACAAACTACTTGTAATGCTACTTTTTATGTACTTAATTTATTTTTATATAATATAATAAAAGTGGTATATAATAAAAGTGGTCTTAAAATAAACTTCAACCTCATCCCTAAACTTAATCATTCAGTCCTTAATTTATAAATACAAATTCTTAAAATCCTAATAGGTATCCAAAAAGAAAATCAAGCAATCACTCAATTATTAACTCCTCGCCATCGACCCCAAATTAATATCTATATACAAATATAATGAAAAATAATAATAAATTATTTTTTACTGCTAAGTAAAGAAAAAAGAAATGAGAAGATGATAAAATTGAAATGGTAATCACTTTGGCTATAGAGACAATATTATTTACCTAGTGCATTAGAGAGAAAAATATATGTTACATACACACAGAAATATATAGTTATAGTTTTTTTCCAGTTTCATAAAAACTATTTTTTTTTTAAGTCAAACATATTTAGAATATAAGAAAAAAAGTATTAAGAAAATTAAAAATGCTTAATCATCAGGAGGACATTTATTTATTTCAAGAGAGATATAAATCTCTTATTAAATTAAAGTGATGGTAGTTAAATATCTTACTAAATTAAATTGATAATAGTTACAAGTTATTCAGTAACGAAAAAGAAAATAAAAAATTATCATTAAAAATAAAACTCTTTTCAGAATTCAAGTAATGAAAAAGTTTTAATATATATAATATATAAATATATCAGTAAAATATTATATCTCCCAACTGGAAAAATAATTAATTTAATGAAATTTGATATTGATAGACAAAAAAAAAAAAAAAAAAGCGAAAAAACTGAGTTCAATAAATGAAATTACAAAATAAATCATGCTAGGATCCAATATTAGTTAGTTAATGAATTTAAATTCAAGTATTTGTTTTTATTCAAGTATTTTGTTTCTCTATTGTTCTAAATTATAAATTTAAAATAAATAAATAAGTTAATTAATTAATAAAAAAGATTACATAAAAAAAGTTCTATCCTCTTCAAATAAAATATCAATTTTCCCTACAACCATAAAAAAAATATATATATACTTTTTTCTTTTTAATCTCTCTCCTAAAAAAATATTATATATATTCTATTTGAAAATTTATTTTTAAAAAATATATCCAATCAAATCATATTAGCATAAAAAAAAGGAATATTAAAAAAAGAATATACTTTTTCCTTTTCTTTATCTCTCTTCTAGATTAAATATTTTAAATTATAATCAAAATAAAATCAGATATTGAAAAATAGAATATAAAAATTTTCAAATGTCTCATTATAATATATATTTATTAAAAAATACATCAAAAAAAGATAAAACTTAAAATGTAAATATAATTTTCTAATAAATGTAATTTCTAATTGGCTATAACTTATGTTATTTTTGGATACTCCAAATTTCATGAAGGACGATATCGAAAATCCTATTATTCCTCTCTTTATTCCCACATTTATATATACTAAGTATTTTGTATGACGTGTGTTACACGTTAACCATACTTGTTATATACTTATTTTTTTATCTACATAATATTCAAGCATAAGTTTTGTTTATTTAAAATAAATACAAGTGGTTAATATGTATTACATTTTTGCCGTACAAATTACTTGTAATACTACTTTTTACGTACTTAATTTTATTTTTATATAATGAAGTGATTAAAGAATAATGTTAAACTCAATCCTTAGACCTAATCCTTTAGTCTCCAATTTATAAATGCAGATCTTTTAAATCTTAATAGATGCCCAAAAAGAAAACAAGCAATCACTCAATCTCCAACCCCCTGCCTTCAATTCCAAATTAATATTTATATACAACTATAATGAAATAATAAAAAATTATTTTTTACTGCTAGGTAAAAAAAAAAAGAAATGAGAAGATGATCTAAATTGATAATGAAAATTATTTTGGTTACAGTTACAGTATTATTTACCCAGTACATCAGAGAAAGGAATATATGCACATATACACAAATTCTTGAAACCCTAAAAGGTGACCTAAACATTTCTAATTTTTTCAGTTTCCTAAATACTATTTTCTTTTAAGTCAAACAAATTTATGATATGAGAGAAAAAATATCAAGAAAATTAAAAATATGTGATCATCAATAAGCTATCTATTTATTGCGAGAATTTTTTATTATTGAATAATTTGTAACTATTATCATTTTAATTTAGTAATATACACAAATTCTTGAAACCCTAAAAGGTGACTCAAACATTTCTAATTTTTTTCTAGTTTCCTTAATACTATTTTCTTTTAAGTCAAACAAATTTATTATATAAGAGGAAAAAATATCAAGAAAATTAAAAATACGTAATTAACAATAAGCTATCTATTTATTGCAAGGGAGATATATAAATCTCTTACTAAATTAAAATGATAATAGTTATAAATTATTATGAAAAAGAAAATAAAAAATTATTATTAAAAATAAAACACTTCTAAAGCTTACCTAACAAAAGAACGTTTCAATGTATATAAATATATAAATATATCAATAAAATATTATATATATTTTTAAATTAATATTTTCAACTGTCTGTCATTCTAGGTTTAATAATGTGAATTTTATTTGGAAATTTACTTTTTAAAAAATATATCTGATCAAATCTTACAAAAATAAAGAAAAGAATATTAATAAAAATAATATATTTTTTCTTCTTTTTTGATCTTTCTCCTAAATAAAATATTATGTACATTCTATTTAAAAGTTTATTTTTAAAAAATATATCCAATTAATCGTACAAACATAAAAAAGAATATTAATAAAAAGGAATATATTTTCTTTCTTTTTTATCTATCTCCTAAATCAAATATTTAAATTATAATCAAAATAGAATTAAATATTTAATAAATAAAATATTTAAAAAAATTCAAATATCTCATTATCATATATATTTATTAAAAAATAAATTTAGTAAAAATAAAACTTAAAATTTTGAAATGCTTAATTTTTATGGTATTTATTTAAATTTGTTTTGATTTATTAGGAGGTTTGATGAGCCGAAATAACATTGCGAGCTACACAATAATGGATAATTCTCCTCTAGATTCAGCAAATTGGTAAAAACACCTGTGGTCAAAGGGACTCGAGCTCAAAACTTCTCATTCCTCACATAAGTTAGAAGAAAATTGAACCACACATGATTGGCTAAAAAAATAACTTTTATAAATATATATAATCAACTAATAAAATGCAATTTTCTAATTGGGTGTGACTAAGGTTATTTTAGACTATCTTAAATTTCATCAAGGTTACTATCGAAAATCTCATTATTTCCCCCTATTCCCATATTTATATATAGTACTAGTTCTTTTTATGACATGCGATGCACGTTGACTATACTCGTGATATGCTCATTTTTTATACTCATTTAGTTTTTATTTATATAATTAAAGTATAAATTCTTATTTAGATTGCAATAAATATAGTGTTTTTTATATATACAGTAAAATATTCTTTTTAATAGTGTTTTTTATATATACAGTAAAATATTCTTTTTAATTATATATCTTGCACTGTAATATCTCATTGAAAAAATTAATGTATTTGTCTCTCTTTAAAATAGCAATTTAAATATGACATATGGCATTTATATTCTCTTCAACATACTAATTTATATATTTTTTAATTAATTAATTGAAATGGATAATTATAATCTTTATTAATTAATTAATTGAAATAGCTAATCATTTTAATTTGATTTCTTTTAGATAAATCAAATTTTAAATATTAAAATTAATTACATATTGTCTATATTTTAAATTAAAATATTTTAATTGACCATGAATAAGGATATTATAGAATATATAAAATTTCACTAAGGACATTTTAAAAAATCTCATTATTCCCTTCATTTCCTACATTTATATATGTTATAAATAATGATTTTTTTATCAAAACATAAACAACATAAATTATAATAAAAATAAAATTAAACCGACTTATGTGGGTTGGACACAAGTTAAAAATTGAATACATGAAACAATGATAAGACTTGAGATATTATAATATTTTATGCATACACAAAGTAAAATAAATTTAAGAAATTTGAAACTTCAATTAAAATTATAATGAATAACATTAATAACACATACATTAATATTGACATTGAACTAAAATTAAAGAAAAATTAAATACAGTATATCAACAACCGACAATGAAAGTAAAGAAATCCTTGATAACAAAATTAAATAAAAGCTTACGTAAAATATATATATATATATATATATATATATATATTAATATAATATATATTATTATATTTAATTCCTGATTAAAATAATACAAAATTTCCCTATAATTCCTGATTAAAATAATACAAAATTTCCACTGTACCATTTGTAATTGAGACATGAAAAACTTTGCAATATGACAAAATTTAGAAATTTTAGTTATTATAAAACTCCTCATTTTAATTTCAAAATGGGTTCACTATGGTTTGCTTGCAGTGTAGAAAAGGAGTGGATAATTGAAAGTGAAGATTATTGTAATGGAAGAAAGTGTTTCACAGGAATGAACAGGGAAAGGGTTTATCATTATCGGTTTGATTGGAAAGTGCATCGTGGTGGTACAATAATTAAAGTTTTAGGTCTAAGATATACAGTAGTGGACTTTTAGTTTATTTTGTGTTTTTTTGCTCTTTGGTCATTGTAGTAATCTTTTCCTTCCAGGAAAACCGATCGAATTTCTAGTAATAAGCAAATTTACCAAACAGAAATTATCATTAAGTACTAAGTTGTTGCTATTTTTCCTTAAGCACATGGAACTAAAATTTCTAAGACAACAACATGACCATTATGTTAGTTAGTTAGATTTCTTCTTTTTTTTTTAAAAAAAAAAAAAAACATTACAAGTGTAGCTTCAAGGCTTGAATGTTGGAGGCTCTCTAATATTAGTGGCTTGCTCAAAGCCATAAGCAATTTGAATTAGTTTTGGTTCAGTACCCTTCAATCCTCCAAAATTAATACCAAAAGGCACACCCTCATAATCATATCCTGCAGGGACATTGATTCCTGGAAATCCTCCAATTGCAAGAACACTAGCAACTCCTGAGCCTGGAGTCACCAATGCATCTAGCTTCTTCTCCCACATCAGCTTTTCAAATCCTTCTCTTGTCAGTTTCTCTAAATTTAACAATGCTGCCCTTTCTTTTTTCCCAATCCCATTTGTTGCCTCAGCCGCAAGAAATATGTCTTGCCCAAATTCCTCCAGTTTTTCCTGCATAAACCATTCCAATTAATGCCTATATATACCAATAGATGCTCATTTGTGGAATTTGGATTTTACTATGAAGATTGAAGGGTGACTTCAAATTGTTCTTTCTTCGTATAATTATAATTTTAAAGAGAAGGAGAATAACTCACCGCATCTGCAAATTTCTGGTTGAATGCTATAACATCAGCCAAGCTTCGAACAGGAGAAGCAACAAGCGATTGCAAGTAAGCGTTCAAAGATATTTTAAACTCAGCTATCAATGCTATTGCTTCACCACTTGCATTAGGATTTAAGATAGTAGTAATGTTGGCTATTTCCAGATGGTCTGCAAGAATTGCACCTTCTTGTCTACATTTGCAAATGAAGTTCATGTTATCTAGATGACATGATATATTAAATATATGGTTACAGTTAACTTCTGAATTTTTTTTGTTCAATATGTAAATTAACGTTTATATACAACTAAATGATTTAAATTGGCAAGAGAATATTCAAATTTGAAATGCACCGGACTCATCAAAGGGAGTGTGTGTATGCGCATGCGCGTGCTATAAGGTCACCCAGAAAAGAAATTTAATCTTGATACTCAGTAGATTAATACAAGAATATGTCAAACCTTACAATATTGGTGTAACAATAATAATAGTAACTCGAACTTTTAGACTAAAAAATAAAATTTCTAGCGGATAATAGATTCTAATAAAAATTAAGGCATGTAATGGATAGTTTTCTAATTTTATGTGTTAGAAAAAAAAAAAAAAAAAAAAAAAAAAAAAAAAACCATATTTAAGAAGAAAAGTACTAACCCATGCAAGAAGGCATTTTTAACATCTAACTATCGAAGAGACCATTTTTGAACAAGAGTTATAGTAATGATCATGCGAATTGTCCCTGGTTTGACAACTGGAGAGAAAGTTTCTGTGTAGTCTAACCCATCAATTTGATGATACCCTTTAGCAACAAGCTGAACTTGTAGTCGATCTAATGACCCATTTGGATTCAATTTTGATTTAAACAACCATTTTGACCTAATAACATGCATGTCTGGTGTTCGAGGAACTAACGTCCACGTTTCATTCTTATGAAGTGCTGCTAGCTTCTCATCCATAGTAGCTTTCTAGCCAAGATGAGCCAACACAGCTTTTATAATGTGGAGTTCACGTGGTATATTGGCTGAAGTGACAACGTTTAAGGCATACTTGGGATTTGGTTTGACTACACCTAATTTAGACCGAGTGACCATGGGATGGACGAACGACCTTGCTGGGGAAAGGCTATGATAGGAAGATTGTGGTGACTCACTCACAACTTGGGGATCTATTGCTAGAACAAACCCATGAGATTCTTGAGGTTCTGGTAAAGGATTTGTTTCAGGTGTGCTCAACAGACTAGGACTATGTGACTCAGTGTCGGCCATACTCATTTCTTCACTGCCCCGTGTGTCATTTTGTGGAGTACTGGTATCAACTGGCAATATTGGACTTTGACATGGAGGTATGGAAGGGTCTGGAATTGACTCTGTAAAAGAAGATTTGCTAGTATGTGATAACCAAGTATCAAAAATGGTATTCACCTGCAACTGATTTATCACAGACTTGTTATTACTTTTATATGGAAACACTGACTCATCAAAGACCACATGTCGAGAGATAAATGTCTTTTTGCTCGAAGGATGATAGCATTTATATGCCTTATGTTTTTCATTATGGCCTACAAAAACGCAAGGAAGACTTTTTGGATCAAATTTATGTTTTCGTAAATCCCAAGTATAGGGGAAAGCACTTAGACCCAAAAGTTCGAAGGCAAGAATAATTTGGATGTGACCCATGAAGAACAAAATATGGTGTTTCAAAATTAATTGCAGATGTTGGTAAATGATTCATAAGATACACTGCTATAGTGAAGGCTTATATCCACAAGAATAATGGTGCACCACTATGACACCTTAGGCAAATCCCACATCGGTTAAGCACAATGTGGAAGTGATATAAATAAGGTGTGGTAGGCCTTGAGCTACTGAGACCCGTTTTGGGCTGGAAGCTGGTTCCCTGGCCCATGAACAAAACCGTGCAGGCCTGGGGCCCAAAGCGGACAATATCCACACAGGCTTTGATACCATGTAGAAAAACTGAAAAAAAAAATGGATTTATTTATTACTGAGAATGTGGATGCAAAAATAAAAAACTTTACTTGAGATTAAAGATAAGATAAGAATGAATCTTAAACTTGAAACAGAAACCAACCAAGAGCTTGACTTTTGCTAACGAAACACATTTTGAACTTGAACTGGTTATCGTAGAACTCCATTATCACACTATATCTGTCCGAGAGTCTCCACCCTTTTCTCTCCAAGAATTACAATCACTCTTATCTCTCCATTGACTCTCACTAATGCCGATATTTGAGGAGGAGGAACCAATATTTGAAAGGGAAATGTTAATAATATTACAATGGACATCAACTTAAGTCCTTTATTTTTTTAACAATTCAAAGCTTTTGAAGATTGAGATGTCCTAGCGTTTGATGCCAAATTTCTAGCAAGTGGCCTGATTTTAAATCGATGAAAAAATATTAGATTCTGGATGAATTAGGATAGAACATTTAGAGATCACCCATTTCGCGTTTCCCCTTTGATTCACTGGCTGTCCTGTTTTCCCGTTGCTTAACACAAAAAAATCAACATTAGTAAATTTCACAATTTAACAGGTCCCCCCTGGAAAATTGTTTTCAGTTAACTGACCAACTTGAAAGTAATTTTTTGTTAAGTTGGAACAACAAAAAACATCATTGAGGAGGTAGGTTTTGATGTTTTTTTGTTTCACACAAGCATCACCGATTGCAGAATTGGCATGGGCATGAAGGAACCATCTCCAATCATTACTGAATCTGCAATAGAATTTTTACGAAGGTTAGTTAATATATTAGCCTTACCTGTCATATGATTGGAAGCTGCTGTATCAGTTGTCCATTCAGTGTCAGTAACAGAGGTATCCAAAGTGAGTGCTGCAAGGGCTTGTGGAATTTCATTTTGTTGAGTGGATTTCTTTGGCACCCACCAACATATCTTAGCAACATGACCCATTACCCCACAGTACTGACATTGTTGGTCACGATATTGTTCCCTCTCTGCAGATGTCATACGACGTTCACCAGGGGGTGGAGGTCGACGTTGTGAATTTGCTGCCGATAAGTCTCTTCGCTGTTGGGCTTGGAACCCACGGCCGTTGGAAGTGAATTTTTGGGATGATCCACGATAGCCTGAATGATTAAGTTGTGGGCGTTGCTGCTGTTGCCCGAAAAAAGCCATATGATGAGTAAGAGATGAAGCTGACATGTCTGTGTGATTAGAGAATAAGTTGCGCCTTTGATCATGATTCTGTAACTGAGAGACTAACTCGGCATATGATGGTAGAGGAGGCTTCAACATGGTTGTTGTGAATATTTCATATTGAGGACCAAGACTTGTGAGAAGACAGAACACCTTTTCTTTGTCAGAAATCATATTGAGGACCAAGACTTGTGAGAAGACAGAACACCTTTTCTTTGTCAGAAACTGGCTTTCCAATGGCTGATAAATTGTCACAGAGAGCTTTGAAAGTACGGATATGTTCTGTGATTGTTGTGGTTTCTTCTTTCCGGAGATACCGAAGATTTTGCAGCAATGTGTATTCACAGTCTTGTGCATAAATGCATTTTTTTTTTTAGAGCCTCCCAAACAGCATGGGCTGTGTCGAGTCCAACAACAAGTGCAAGGGCCTCTTCCGAAAGTGTGCCAATAAGCCACCCTCGAAGAAGCCGATCTGTCTTTCGCCATTGTACAAATTCATCTGTTAGTTGAAGTGTTGAATTTTCTGTAGTTGTATTTGTATATCTATTTGGAGCAAGATCTTCATTTGTGAGGTGTCCTACTATGTCTTGACTCTCAGCAAGAGCCAGTGCTTGTTCACGCCACAAAGGGTAATTGTTTGAGGTGAGTCGAAGGGTGATAAAGTTGCCAACATTGAGAGATAGGGTAGAAGTAGTCATGGTGTGAAGAATGAACCTGTAACTGGTTTAGCTTAGTATCCACACAGGCTCTGATACCATGTGAGAAAACTGAAAAATAAAATGGATTTATTAATTATTGAGAACGTGGATACAAAAACAAAAAACAAAACCTTGATATCTTTCTTAAGCTTAGTATCTAGACTATTTATACAGAGCTTAGTATCTAGACTATTTATACAGAAAAACAGAGACTAAAGATAAGATAAAATCAATCTCAAACTTGAAACAGAAACCAACCAAATCTCCCAGAGCTTGCCTCTGAATTTTGCTAAAGTTCATGCAAAGTTTGATTTTTCAGAAAAATCTTGCAGTGGTTGAGTTTTTAGAGGATCTTGCGGAACACATTTTGAACTTGAACTGGTTACCGGTAGAACTATGTTATCACACAATATTTGTCCTTTGACTGAGATTTTTTGTTGAGAGTCTCCACCCTTTTCTCTCCAAGAATTACAGTCACCCTTATCTCTCACCCTTATCTTTCTCCATTTTGCTTCTCACTAATTGCCGATATTTTGAGGAGGAGGGAACCAATTACTTGGAAAAGGGAAAATTGTTAATTAGCACCCATCATTATTGTTATCACACAATATTTGTCCTTTGACTGAGATTTTTTGTTGAGAGTCTCCACCCTTTTCTCTCCAAGAATTACAGTCACCCTTATCTCTCCATTGACTCTCACTAATGCCGATATTTGAGGAGGAGGAACCAATACTTGAAAGGGAATTGTTAATAGCACCATCATTATAATCAACTCCTACAATGGCATCAAGAACATAGACAGCATCCCTTACTGTCCTGCAGATTGGCCTGTTTCATTCATTGCCAAGTAAAAGTTTTTCGAATCAATAGAGTAATTTCAAAATTACAAGAAAAAAATTTCAATTAGATTGATAAATATTGAACTAAATTATTGTATACAAATTCGAGTTTCCAAACAGAGGCGTATAAATTAGGCTTATGGCCAGTAGATGCTTACCCAATGGTGTCCTGTCTGAAAGAAATAGGAACAACCCCAGCTCTGCTAGTGAGACCAACTGTTGGCTTTATACCCACAACAGAATTAGCATTTGAAGGACATAAAATGGATCCATCTGTCTCAGTCCCTAACGACACTGCTACCAAATTTGCTGCTACTGATATTGCAGGCCCGCTACTTGACCCACATGGATCCGCAGACAAAACATAAGGATTCTGCAAATTGAGATTAACCCATCCAAATAATAAATTTTATTAATCCAAACCCAAGAATTCAAATCCATCGATCCAAACACAACAACATTTATAAGGCATTTTACTCACCTTTCCTTGGCCACCTCTAGCACTAAACCCATTAGGTAACGTGAGAGACCTAAAAGCAGCCCATTCAGTCATGCTAGCTTTTCCCAAAATGATAGCTCCTGCGTTCCTTAACTTCCAAACCACACCTGCATCGCGAGGCACTACTGATCCAAACAGCGGGAATGAACCAGCCGTTGTGTTTAGCTTATCCTTGGTTCCAATATTATCCTTCAAAAGGATAGGAATACCATGCAAGCCAATCAGCGAACCAGGTGCCTTTGCTTTTCGCTCATAATCAGCCTTATTAGCTTGATAGAGCGCATCAGGATTTATTTCTATTACTCCGTTTAGGACAGAATTGAGTTGACGGATTTCTTCAATATAGAACTCAACTAGTTGCGTTGAAGTGAGTTGGTTTTGCTTAAAAGCAAGTTGAATATCATCTACGCTTGCTTCTTTTATTGAGAATCCATGGCTTGTTACTGTTAGAAGAAACAGGATGATAAGTGATGCAAGAAATGAAAAGTTTACTAATATCTTTGTTGCCATATCCAAGTTGTAAGTAGGTAATTTTTACTCAAGTTCTTTTAGGTAAGTGAAAGCCTACATATATATATATATAATAGATGAGGCCTATAATCAACCCAAATTGAAATATTAAAAAACTAAATAAATTTATTCTATTAATACTAAAATAAAATTTGAATAAACGCAGAATAAGTTTGATATCGACTTGACGAGTCTATTATCAACAACCATTTGGACCAGTGAAAGTGAACTATATTAATTCACAAACGAATTTTACTTATAAGGTCAGTGATTCAAAACCTAGAGTCGCTACTGTTGAGAGGGTTTTACCTGAATACCACGTTACCCTAAAATTAATGTAGAGTCACGTATAATAATTAAAGAAAGAACCAAAAACTGGAGTTAGTGGTGTGACAGTAGCAGAGATGTTTTATTTATTTTGAAATTTTTTAATGTCTACTTGGAAATATGTTGATGTTATGTTTTGCAAGTTGATAAAAGGTATCGTACTGTTGTTGGTTAGAATTATGTGAGTATTGACAGGATTCTTAATACATGGCTTAATGGGTCATGGGAGAAAGGTTTCCTTCCATTTTGAAGAAGCAAAAGCTACCAAACGGAATACTATAAGTTGTCTTGACCTATATGCATGCCCGAAATGCCTTCCTTTGTATGTATACGTGTATATGAGTTACGACCGAGTCCTGATCTTTACTGTTTAGGTTTTGGCCGTCCATTTCTTCGTGGTAGAATGCTTTTTTTCTTTTTTTCTTTTGGAGATAATTCTTCATGATAGAGTGCCGAATAGAAAAGCTGCTAACATCTATTAATTGCATCGAAAGCCAAAAAAAGGTTGAAAAAATCAAACATTTCAATTGAAATTTAGGAAGGTCATCAACTTTAAAAAAAAAAAAAAAAAAAAAAAAAAAAAAAAAAACAAAACAAAACACAAAGACAAAGATTTTTTAAATAAAATTGTGTAATAACTTTATAGAAAATGAAAAATAACAAATTGTGATGTATAGTTTTATATTTTAAAAAAAAAAAAAAAAAACAATGAGTCGTGATCATTGTGAAGGGATTATTGAACACATCAATCCATTTTGCTAATTTTGACACTGAAAAATACACAAATAGCCTGCTTTGCTTCAACTATTAGGAAATTTCCGCATTCAACTATCAAAACGTTTTATATTAAAAAAAAAAAAAAAACAAATGAGTCGTGACTCATGTGAAGAATTATTGAACACTATCAATCATTTTGCTAATTTTTGACACTGAAAAATACAACAAATAGCCTGCTTGCCTTCAACTATAGAAATATTCCGCTTCAACTATCAACTATTCTGATTTAGATTCCAAGTTTCAACACAGCAAAAAAAGGTAGATAAAGCAATTCTATTCTCAATCAACAAATATATGAAAACAATAATAATCTAACAAATGCACACTAAGGCATAGTAGTAGATGCACTTACGAATTGACTATAGATTCAGGTTCGAATCCCCAAACTTATTGAAACAGAGATATTCTTACCATACGCTGAAAAATAAAATAAAATGGAAATAATATTTAAAAAATCATTTCGTTGTTTAGACCTGATTTAGGCAAATCTAATCCCTCTAGATCAACTAGCGGCTTACAAATTTAGGTCCCAGCTCTTATTCATCCTCTTTTTTTTTATTTCTTTTTTTTAATCTTCTGTTTTTTTTTTTTTTTCTTTAATTTGGGACTATGAGGGATCAAAATCTCAACCTATCCTTCTCTCCAATATAAGACTAAAATATCCAAGCCAATTTTGATGTAAGTTCTTTACAATTCGAGTTAAAACGATGATCAAGTCTATTATCACTTGGCAAGCCAGTCAAAGAATATTATTGCAATGTTCCTATTGACCTATATATCGGAAAAATTTTAAATTAAAATAGAAAAATTAAAATCCTCTTAAATAAAAATAATAAATCTTTCTCAATTATAAAGATCCTATATAATGGATATATTCTACTTTTTCTACATGGAAATCTATGAAGAAAAATAGTACAAAGTATGCTTGAAACCCAAGAATTAAAATAAAAAAATAGTTATTTTTAATCTTATGGTTCAAGTTGAAGACAGTGTTGTATCATACTCTGACCGGAAAATATCTCGTCCTCAAGTTTGACTTAATATGGTATTTTTTCTTGCTTGTGAATTTCCAAAGCATACTGAACTTATTGGATTTATTTTATCGCATCCATCCATACACCAATGACTTTCTAATAAAAACATTAATAAAATTTTATTAATAACCAAAGAATTTGATATTCTGCAGGAAGTGAATGCGAAAGGATCTTCATAGTAATAATCTTTTTTTTTTTTCCATGAATATGAATCGTCATAAATATAAATGATCATGATAGACGGAGCCAGAAATAAAAACTAGAAGACCGAAAAAAAATATAAAATTTAGGAAACCACTAGAATTAGAAACTATGAAAGGAATATGCATACAGAAAATCCAATCTTGACGAAATTAAAACCCCATTACAAACAATCTACGCAACGAGACAGAAGACTAACTCACTACTTTGACAAGTCAGTACAATAATACAACTATACTTGAAATCTACCAAAATAGAAAGAACAAATGCACCAAATAACTCAAAGTTACGTATTTGTTTTAGTCCAAAAATAAAATTAAAACAGAAAAATCAAACTTTACTACCACTATATGTACTCTTATGATCCAAGGTACTCCCCCGTCGTCTGTTCGTCTAAAAGTCCATTGCGAAGGATGAAGGAGGTACGCGTGACAAAGTAGCCTGCTCAAAGGCAAAAGCAATTTCAATAAGCTTTGGTTCCATTCCTTTCAAGCCCCCAAAACAGATCCCAAATGGCATTCCATTACTGTCATAACCAGCAGGAACACTAATAGCAGGGTAACCTCCAATAGCTAAAACTGTAGAAGCAGTCCAGCCAAGAGTCACCATTGCATCTAACTTATTCTCTTTCATCATTTTCTCAAACCCTTCTTTAGATAACTTTTCCATGAACTTCATTGCCTCAATCTCTTCCTTTCCAAGCCCGTTTGTCATTTCTGATGCAATTAACATATCCTGACCGTACTGTTTCATGTCTTCCTGCAGTGATCAAATGGTTAAGACTTGTTATCTCATATGAAACCATAAATTAATAGAGAAATTCCCTCAAAAGAACACAAACCGATATAAGGAGTACATAATGGAATATAAATGGGAAAAAGATGAGCGAAAAAATGGAATCTTGTTATGCATTGAATTAAAATTTTTTCGTTGTATTAAATATAATGTAATGTAATCAAATACTCAGTTTTAAACTAAAAATATATTTAATTATGTTATATTTCATTGCATTATAAATTAAATTTGTATTTGATCATATCATATATCGAAGTATAAGTTAGTGTTGTCTGCTCAACATCCACCAAATTCGTAACTCACATACCTTATCAGGATGATTGGCGTTGAAAGCGATTATGTCTGCAAGTGATCTAACAGGAGATTTTATAAGCCCTTTAAGGTATTGATTAATTTTCAGCTTGAACTCAGCTAAGATTACAATTTCTTCACCACTTTGACTCGAATCCATAATTACATCAATGTTCGCTATTTGAGTATCATCCAGCACAGTTGCACCTCCTTTCCTATAATTTCCATATAAATAATAAAAACGAAAAGAATACACAGCAAATTTTTATTTATGAACACAACTGGATTAACAGCTAATCAGCTATCTTAATTAATTTTACACTTATATTAAAGAAATGTACCTCAACACTTCCAGATGATAGTTGAAGGTTGACAGCACAGTAGAATCATTGACTGAGTTTGAAAATGGAATTCGTACTATTCCTAATCTCTTCCCTCTAAGTCCGTCCTCTTTTAAAAACTGTTTATAACCACCTGAAGGAATAAACTTAGCAGCTTCCTTTGTTGCATCATAGTCTTCTGGATCAAAACCAACAATTGCATCAAGCACATAAACTGCATCTGATACTGTCCTGCATATAGGCCTGCATTTCCATTCAATACTTGCTGTGTTTACAATTTATCATCAAATCAGGTGTCTATATATATATATATATAACACGCTTGTCTTGGATTATGTTATCCATATCAGGAAATTTTTGAATCCACAATTTTTTTTATTGAATGGATTATACAATCTCTTCTTTGCTATGAAGATTGAATTAAAGAATTTGAAATATATTTTTAAAATTAAAATAGTATAAAACAGACAATTATATGTAAAGATCACCCAATTGTGTCCTGACGAGGAGAAATTGGAATGACACCAGCACGGCTTGTGAGACCAACCGTAGGCTTGAGCCCCACAACGGAGTTGCGATCAGCTGGGGAAAGGATCGAGCCATCAGTTTCAGTCCCCAGTGATACTGCCACCATGTTTGCTGCTACTGATATTGCTGATCCACTGCTTGAACCGCCTGGATTTCCCCATTTCACATATGGGTTCTGCATATAGATTCTGTAAATTTTATAATTTCATGTTTGGCATATCTAAAAGATTCAATGTGTTGCACGGAAACGGAAAAGTAGAAGCATGGAATCGGACACTGAAAAACAGTATTTTTTTTAAAATATAGAAAACAGACACGGAAACGTGTAAATACGAAAAATAAAAAATTATATTTATAAATTAAAAAATAAATTTATTACAAACTATTAAATATATTCAGTTATAAGTCAAGTCCAATCAATATTTAGTGATATCTAAAAAAATTACAATTTTCATGTTTGTGAATAAATACATGTTTTATGAATTTATATTTATGTAAATTAATAAAAATGAGTTTTCTGAGAGTTTCTACTGTCTAGGAAAATGTATTTCTAAAAGTAAAAAGTATTTCCAAATTACTCAATTTACAAGAGTTTACGAACGTCACGAAACATTTCCGCTTGCATGTGTATAGGAGACGCGGAAACCGCAACCAAAGAAAATTTTCGTGCAACATTATTCATTTCAGCCATAAAAAATTAAATTCAAACATAACTAAGTCTAATTTTATTAGTTATTAATGAATCTTATACTTCAAATTCAATTTGCAATTCCTCCGCAACACAAATTTCCTTGGATCAGTCCTTTAACTAGGATGGTGTATTGGGATTAGTCAGATTTATAAACATTTAAATTAAATGGAGATGACTCTGTGCAAGTATAAAAAAAAAAATTCCACCTGCAATTAAATATTATGACATATTTCTTTCTTTTAATTTAATTTTGCCTTTCTAATGAATAGCAGAAATTGTTTATTTTACAAATTCAATATTTTATATTTTTATGAGCAAAAGCGAAAAGAAATATTACTGGAGTAACAAATATAAACAAAGGATAAAACGTTATGACTTACCACACCTTGACCAGCTCTAGCGCACCAACCACTAGGAATCTTGAGCGACCTCATCTCGTACCATTCACTCTGACTAGCTTTCCCGAAAATCACAGCTCCGGCATTTCTTAGCTTCTCCACCACTCCGGCATCACGCGCTACCTCCGATTCAAGCAGCGCGTACGACCCACACGTAGTGTTCAGCTTATCTTTCGTTCCTATACTATCCTTTAACAGCACTGGAATCCCATGTAGCTCCCCTAATGGTCTACGGCGATGATTACTCTCTCTCTCTTGATCAGCTTTCTCCGCTTGATCTAATGCGTCCGGATTGATTTCCAGTACGCCGCGAAGCAGAGGGTTGAGATCTTGGATTTGGTTCAAGTAGAAGCTGACTAGCTGTTTCGAGGTTAGTTTGTTTTCAATGAATGCGAGCTGGATGTCCTTGATTGTAGCTTCTTTGATCGAGAATTGTGAGCCGTTGATCGTGTTGAAAAAGTTAAATATGAGAAGAAGAGAGAACGATGAAGACAAGAATACACTGATCGTCTCCATTCTTGCTTTTCAAATTTCGATGGCCTTCTCTAATTAAGGTCAACGTGAAGTTATCGCTTTTTATCGTCGGTACCAGGTGATTGTATGGATGATAATTTTTTAATTCTCTGTTACAAAAAGATAATAAATTTTTTATTTTTACATAAATTAAAAAAATATAATTAAATAATAATTTCATTTATATAATTTTTTTATTATACTCATTTTAAATAGCACAACAGTATTAAAATAATAATTAAAAATTAATAAAGATTATTGAAAATAAGATAAAATTTAATAAAGATACAGTAAATAATTCAATGATTAACTATAATAAAAAAAAAAAGTGAATTATATTTTGAGATAAATTAAAAAAGAAAGATATACCATCTTTTTTGAGATGATGAAATATTAAATTTAACTTTTCATTGAAATGTTCAGTACATTATTTTTACTTGGAATAATATGTAATTTAATTTTGAATTTGAAATGCAATATATAATTTCTCTAAAAATCAATATTTTATACAACATGACTCTTAACTTTGCATTAAAATTAAAAAAATAAAAACCCTTTCTTTATGAAAAAATAGAATAATAATTTAATATTAATTTATAAAAATTAGTATATAATAATTTTTTTAATTCGTTGGAGGGTTTATGGGCTGAAATAATATTGCGGACTACATAACAAGAGTAGTCCGCATTCTCCTTTATGAAAGAATAGAATAATAATTTAATATTAATTTATATTTATAAAAATTAGTATATAATAATTTTTTTAATTCGTTGGAGGGTTTATGGGCTGAAATAATATTGCGGACTACATAACAAGAGTAGTCCGCATTCTCCTTTATGAAAGAATAGAATAATAATTTAATATTAATTTATAAAAATTAGTATATAATAATTTTTTTAATTCGTTGGAGGGTTTATGGGCTGAAATAATATTGCGGACTACATAACAAGAGTAGTCCGCATTCTCCTTTATGAAAGAATAGAATAATAATTTAATATTAATTTATAAAAATTAGTATATAATAATTTTTTTAATTCATTGGAAGGTTTATGGGCTGAAATAATATTGCAGACTACATCACAAGAGTAGCATTTTTCTTAGCTCACAAAATTAGTGAAAATAATTATAGTCTAGAGGACTCGAATTCAAGACCTCTCACTCCTCACGTAAGTGAAAAAACCAATCAAATCACCTCTTAATTGACAAATTAGTCTATAATAATTAGCTAAAAGTAAAAATTATTATTTAATTAAAAAGTCAAGTCCTTTTGTTGATTTGGGGGTAAAGTTTGAGTATTGGATTGGATGAGATTGTGAATTGTGGTAGATGGGATATAGGTGTTGTTAGGCAACAAATTTTAAGATAACGTTTAGCATTTTGACTAAAATTAAAATATTGCTATTCTTTTAACATTCGAAAAAAACGCTAATTATTTACGATGGATTATGAAATGTTTAGCAAAATGGATTATGAAAGGATTATTAAAATCCTGTTATTTACAGTGTTTGGTAATATAATATTTTTAGTAATATTTAGATTTTGAAAAATGGATTATGAAATGTTTATTCTCTTTAATATTTGAAAAAACGCCAATTAAACAGCTGTCACATAATTGCTACTACAAAAGTTAATTTGACCCATGACATGATTATTTGGAGGCCTAAAATTAGAAATTTATATTTGTTTATTGTTTTGTTTTTATAAGATGAAAATGTCTGTCAATCAGGTAATGGTTTGACTGGTCTTCTCACTTATTTAATATGTCAGAGGTCAATCATAGTTGTTTTCATCAATTTGATGAGCCAAAGAGAGACCTCTTATTGTGCAGCCCATATGGACTCGAGCAAAATTTACAAGTATATGAAAATATCATCACATAAGGATTGAAATCTTAACAAGTACCAAATTATAAGTGAAACATCATCACATATGAATTGTGTACAGAATACTAAAATTGTCTTAACATATTATTATTTAGAACATTAAATTTTAATTAAGCTAAAATTAAAACTAATTAATTTAATTTAAAAAAACACTTAATTGCAATTCACAAGGAAAAATAATAAATATAAGGAACCCATTCAATTTATTGTTATGTTTGATAATTAATTTTAATCTTGATGTAACTATGATATGTCATAAATTTTATGGATACAAACTATTTAAAATTATATATTATGTCATAATTTTTATGGATTACATACTATAAATATATATATATATATATTATTAGTATTTATATATATATATTTATATATAATATATAATATATATATAATCCTTTAAAGCAAAATTTAAGTTCCAAGATGCTATTTATGTTCGGGATTCTTATTATCTTTTTTACAAATTTTTGATTGTTAAATTTTTATTTTAATTTTATTTTACTATGACTTTATTGTTTACAAATTATCTACACAAAACAATGTATGTTATAAATTTAAAAGATTATGTTTAAATTTAAATGAGAATCCTATTCCTATCTTTTTTTTTTTTTTTTTTTTTGGTTTTTTGTATAATCTCTATATTTTATTAATCTTTTTTTCTTTTTCTCTATTCGGTATTTGCGTGTTGGTGCGCATGGCCTAAGCTTTCTCAGCCCCTGGGAGCTTTCAAGGAGCAGGGTTTGATATTGGCTGCTCTTCTGGGTTTGTTTGCTATGGCTGAGACTTCCATAACTACGTTGTGGCCGTGGAAGGTATAGATTTCAGTTTATTTATTTCTTTTTTCTTTTTTTTTTTTTAAGCATTGGGGAAATGGATTTGAATTTTGCTTTTAGTGAATATTTTCTGTGTATCTGATGACTACTCATCGTGTAATTTTGATAAAGAGAACATCAGATTTAAGATATGTACAGTATACACATTATGTAGAAAAGTTAATGCACCTAAGTAGTGGGAGGACCGGCTATTCCCACAAACAACATTTGTCATTTTGACACTATTGATTGAGCTAATTTAGTATTTTGGTTGATGCTATACAGTAACATGGACTACTCATCGTGTAATTTTGATAAAGAGAACATCAGATTTAAGATATGTACAGTATACACATTATGTAGAAAAGTTAATGCACCTAAGTAGTGGGAGGACCGGCTATTCCCACAAACAACATTTGTCATTTTGACACTATTGATTGAGCTAATTTAGTATTTTGGTTGATGCTATACAGTAACATGGATCATACTTTTGCGGGTTTTAGATTGTTCTATTATTTTGACAAAGGAGAAAAAAGAGAATGAAATCAGTGTAATATAGGTGGTAAACAAAAAGAGGTTACTTTAACCTGCAACATGCCATTTTTGATAGATGTACACTGAAGGAAGGATGAAGTGTATAACTATTGTGTTGGAGGCTTCGAGCATGTAATTTTTATTTTTATTTTTTTTTTGTAATATATAATTTTTATTATTTCATATATGGAGAATTGATTCTTTTACCTATATTTAATTGATTCTTAATTTTAGAGTATTCATAAGTTAATAATTAATTTATAAATAATATTTATTTATATATTATTTATATTAATTATTTTGAACGGTAAACCTTTATCTGTATGGAATTATTTATAATAAGATATGATGTTTAAATTTTTGAATTATAAACTTTAACTAAAGCTAGACATGATTAATTGAATTTTATTTAATATAAATTAAAAGTATTATAATTTCTATAACAAGATAATTTAATATAATAACCTGTGGAAAAAATAAATCTTTTAATAAAATACAATGTAATTTATAAAATACAATTAATTTGTATTTATAAATTATAAGCTATCAAAACAATCTGCGTAAAGTCCGGGCCTTCACCTAGTTATTTGAAAAAGTAAAATTAACATGTAATTGATGAAATTAAAACAAAAAAAATCTGCATGCTTTCAATTATTGATATTGCCACAATATCAATAACCAGTCATTTATTAAAAAGAAAATAGTAATAAAAATTCAATTATTGGTAAACTTAATACATGCTCTATTTATCAAACCAACAACAACAAAAGATAATATCAAGCTCTGTAAAAATAATAAAATTACATCACTCTGTATAAAAATAACAATGAAATACGAACGTTCAGTAATGAATGTAGATAACTGATAGAAACCACTGTTTATTTAAAATTTTATTTTTAATATATTTAAATATAAGACTTTTTCTATAACTTATATTTAACTCCCAAAATATTATAATAAATATCCTTTATATATAAATTCTGCATCCTTTGCTTCCAATAATAAAATTAAAATATCACTTGCAGGGTGTGAATTTGCAAGTGGCATGGCCAGAACCATAATTGGCTCTAATAAACCGAAGGGCAGTAAGGAGAACAGCCCTTTGAGAGCCCATCAAGGCCCAATTCATATGTGTAACAACACTTAGCGCATTAAATGGGAATTGAAGACTATTATAAGAGTTAAGAAGAGCAGTTGTTCCTTCCCTTAGGAGAGTCTTGTAAGGGTCACCCCTCCCTTGTAGGGCTTGCCATAATGTCATGTCTGTACCATATCTTCTGGCTGCTACCAAACCAAATGCAACTCCTACCTTCGTGTCTGGGTTCACTGCCCTCCAATAGCATTTGTACTCTGCCATTGTCCAGTTCCTACCAAACCACATACATCCATAATATTTTAAAACACAAATTCAGCTTTTAATTTTTTTTTCTTTTTTACAATCATACCCACAATTTTTTCCTTCAAATTGAATTAATTAAACCGTTAATATCCTTTTTATTATTTTAAATTAAAAAATTAATTAAATAGATATTTTTAACTAACACTTTTAATTTAAACTGTCATATAAACAGTTACAAGCTAAAAATTAATAACTAACAACTAACAAACACTAAAACAATTAATATTATCGAACAGAATCTAATTATTAACCCCAGTGTAGTTCTAAATGATGATTCTCGTGAAACTTTGAATCCATGTTGACATTTATTTGTGTAAAATTGAATGCTTTTATGGGTTATAAGTTGTAAATTGAGGCTTTCACATTATTCAGTCTTCTAAGTCACATGTGCTCCGACTTACGCAGCAGTTTTATTTAATAAGTCGTAGTACAATATTCTTCTGGTTACGTGTTTACTTCCTCTGAAAATTGCTTTTCTAATCCTCACATGTAAGCTTACACGTGCAACAGATCGTGCAGGAACTCACACGCCTGAGACTAGATCTCTAACAAGTTATTGAATTCATAAAATTTTGTAAAGTTCATTATTCAATTTGGGTTCAATGATATAATTTAGTAACAACTCAATATAATTACTCCATTCAAAAAATAAAATCTCAATATATTTACTCAAATTATTGAATTTTACCAATTGAAATATGAAAGTTTATTTAAAAAATTTAAACTCGATTTATTTGCCAACTCATGGACTAAATTAATAAAAATAATTTTTTTATTGAAACGAGGAGATTCTTAATAATACACCGGAAAAAAATAAATAAAGAAATTTTTTTTTTAAAAAAAATTTTATTAGTTTGGTATCTGGACGATAGACTTAGTCTGACAAATTTAATCCTATTTAAAATTTTTTTTCTTTCTTAAGTTCATAAATTTGGTTATATTTGAATTAAATCTTATCAAAATTTAAAAATCATTCAAATGAAAATCTAAATTAAAAAAAAAAACTAATGAGAAAAACTATGTATTTAAAATAAATCTATAATTAATCCAATAATGAGAATTAAATGCAAAAAATTTGTAAATGAAATGAGTTTAAATATAGATTTGTTTCAAATATTATGGAAGTCTTAAATTGATATTATTTTTGCTCGTCTACATAGATTCATTTAATCTATTCCGATTAATTTTGAATGATATCTTTTGAATGATATTTTCAAATTCTAAGTTCATTCTTATGTATGTCAATTAGTCTGATCCTCATTTTCTTATTGCTTTTATTTTTAAGATATGTTTGGTTTACTTTAAAATAATATGAAAATATATTATTTCAATTCACAAAATCATATCTTAAATTTATTTTTTAAGTAGTAAGTATTTTTTTTCACATTAAAAATAGATATTATTTCAAATAAACAATAAAATATTACCTAAAAAATTGATTTTTTTTCCCCCAATTTCAAAGAAAATTAAACATGACTTTAATGTGCTTAGTTTTATGCTAAACAAAACATGTTTAATTTATTTTATTTTTTAGGTCTATAACCACCGGTATCCGAAAGTTCATTGGACTCCGACTATGTCCGACTCGAATACTGCAGAGTTCATATAGAGACGACTCTCCCAGTGTGACAATTTTCATATTGAAAGATCTAATCCGAGACTTTGTTTAAATGGGACCTTCATCCCATTCACTCTGTCCCAATCAAAATCGGTAACACAACATGCTTACTAATCAACCTACCATCTACCAGAAAAAAATATAATACTAATATTGGACCCAAATAATAAAAATTAAAAACTTACTGGTGTGTGCATGCTGATGCTTCGAGGAAAGGTAATGGTGGCATAGGAGGAAGTGGAGGCAATTTAGGCAATGGAGGAAGCTTGAAACGTGGAGGCGCGGCTGGCGAAACAAGCGCCGGTGGTGGCTTTACAGGATTTAAAGGAGCAGGCACTGGATTTGTAGACCTTTGGCAAAATGACATTGGCTCAGCAGGCTGAGATAGTAAAGAATCCACATTATATATTTCCATATCAAACAATCTAAACATTAGCCTTAGCTTTTGTGCAGGACCAGCTCCTACTCCACACCCATTTGAACCTTCTCCATTGCTTGATACTTGTGCGTAACAGTTGCTCAAATCTGGTGTTCCATCAAATTTCATTACATAGTTTCCAAACCAATTTGTTGTCTCTTCTCTTGACATTGTCATTTGACCGTTACTATCTGCACATACCATCATCACTTTGATTCCTGCAAGATTTTACTTATTATTATCAGAAAATTAATGGAATAGAAAATAAAAAATGTAATTTAGTTATATAATGGGTTAAAGAAATCTGATACCATAAATGGGATAATCGAAGACAGATCTTTGGCCATCCTTGCATTGGTCACAAAAGACAGTGCCACTAACCATAGCATCTCCTCTAATTCCATGAATGGCAGAAGCAAGAATGAGGAAGAGAAAGAAAAGAAGGTTATGTGACAAATCCATAATCTTGCGTTTGGTTGCTTTCATGGTGGAAGAAGAAGAAGAAGAATAAAAAGGGTCTCAAGTGGCCATTCCGGATTTGAACACTTGACAAATTAGTCAAAAAAAGAAGAGATGTTCATGAATTTAACTCTCAACTGCCTATATTTATTAGTATGTGTTGAAAAGAAAAAAAAAAAGTTTCAGGGAACAGGTAAATGGTACGGCAATTCATTTAAGAGATATGATAATAAATTGATCTTCATGTGGCTTGAGCAGCTCTTCTAATTTATTTTGGTACTATCTTTCCTAATAAATGTGACAGAAATTCCTTGTGTTATAAGTTTGTTGTGATTAGAAATGTGTGTAATTATTCCTATCCACGTACGCGTTTATATACATTTGTTCTAATAACTATTAATAACTATCGACTACTATAGTAGTGATTACATATTAACTATTAGTGATTAATTATTTATATATTAATTTTAAATATAATTATTTTGTAAAAATAACGGTTTAATTAGTCATTATATAAAAAATAATTTAAAAAAATTCATTTAATTATTCACAAACACTGAATATTAAAAAGAGTAATGTTTCATTAAACATTTATTAAATTCTAAAAAGTAATTTGAATATCATATTTTCGAGTCTTATAACTGATAATAATAGTATTTTAAAACTACTCAAAAAGGTAAACACTATTTTAAAAAGTTGTTAGAGATTAGACTTAGAAATGCATTTGATTATCTTTCGTTGTGGCTTACCAAACCAAACCGATAATATAATTTTTACTATAAGAACAAATCATTTTAAAGAAAGAACCTCAATTAATTGCACCTGAAATTGCAGCATTTATGTATATAGGTTTATATATGCTTCATAACCACAATATTCAAAGAAAGATGTACAGAAAGACCTGCTATTAATTAACATACTACCAGCTGAGGCCTTGTTTACATATCAAAGCACATATGATGTTACGTGTCATATTTAAATCTGTTAGATTAATGCAAGACAAATTATCAGTTACAGTAAATTTCATGAATAGTTGGAGAAATTCTGTAGCCGTTAATTCAAAAAAAAAAAAAAAAATTCTATATTGTTACTTTGAAAATATTAGAGAAGTATGTGGTTAGTTATATGCTTTATTATTATGTGTTGTGTGCTTTTGGCGGTGGAGAGTATTAGTTGGCCGTTGAAGTAGGAAGATAGGCATTGATGAAAATTGGGCTGATAATCATGGGCTAAGCTAGACACTGGCAGGCTGCCATCCTCTTTTCCTTTTCTCCTTAACTGCAGAGTGCATGCCTACCAAATACCGCCTACATTCTTAAATATTTGTTATATTTAAAAAAATATTATATTTTTAAATATTTATTGCAATTTTGGTCTGGATGAGTGATAAAAAATTTTTTTTATATTTTTTATATACGAGCAATAATTATTATTTCAATTTCTCAAAAATTTATCTCTCTATTTTTTATATTAAATTGAGGGTAATATAATCAATTTATTCAATAATTTATTGTAATTTAAATAAATTTAATAGTTTTTTAAGGAATATGAAATTTCAAATTCGACAAATATTTCGGAACGGAGGTTACTTCTTCGTCTCAAAGTATGATTCGTATAAGTTCCAATATATATGGAGAGAAAGGGATTAAAGCCTTGTCTATTCTGTCTTTTTTTTTTTTTTTCTGAAACGTATTTTATTAATAATAATAATATCAAGAATTATAAATAATCTTGTCTATTCTGTCTTTTTTTTTTTTTTTCTGGAACGTATTTTATTAATAATAATAATATCAAGAATTAATATATCATATACAACTAGACATAAAACTTACTATAAGATAACTAATACAGTTTGCTAATCTTTTAAAGATTCATATTCTTTAGAAAATGAAACTAAATTTAAAAAAATATAATATTAGATCTTTCCCGTTTTTCTTTTTTTTTTTTTTTTTCTGAAACGTATTTTATTAATAATAATAATATCAAGAATTATAAATAATCATATAAACTAGACATAAAACTTTACTATAAGTAACTAATACAGTTTGCTAATCTTTTAAAGAAAATTCATATTCTTTAGAAAAATGAAACTAAAATTTAAAAATATAATATTAGATCTTTCCGTTTGAAGTTAATCTTGATAAAAGATATAAATTTTTATAGCAGCAATTAGTCCATCCATTACTTTATTTAAATAACAAAATAATTTATCTGGATCTTCTATGTCTAGATTGTTTTTCTAAGAATTTACAACATATAACAAACATAAATGAGTTTTGGCCACTATGCTAAAGTCTCTAACCAAAATAAAATAAAATATTATATTTTTATTTTGCAATCAACTTTCACAGAAAAGGGATCACCACCACAGAAAAGTGACAAAAAAAAAATTCAAATATAGAGACAAAACAACAATAACAAAAATAAAAAAAGACAGATCTATTACAAGAAAAATATATTTAAATTTATCGATGTGAAAGCAAGAGAATGAAACAAAAGAAAATTAGAAGGTAGGGGTTACCATCTATGAACCGTGACAACTCTAAACTAAAACTAAGATTTGAAGATTAAAAAGAAAAGAGAGAAAGGAAAGGGACTAGGGCTTCTCACATATTATCAGTAATTTCTTTTTTATCTATTCTGTCTTATTGACGGTTTATTCCACCTTCAATCTATTCATTCAAAAACATGAATGAAATAAGTTTATATGCCTTTAAACCAATAAACTGTTTATCTAAATTTGCAAGCCAAATTTTATTTGAATGGAAAAAATATTTAAAAATTGATTAAATAAGTTATATGACTTCTTTTATAAAAACGACAAAATTCCCATAGATAATTATAAAATTATATTTTATATATTACTTTTTAATCATTTAAAAAATACAAATCTTTAATTATTTAGCTTTATAAATTGTTGATTTAGCTACAAAATCATTTACATGGGTCTGATGTTAAATTTGATCTAATAATTTATTGAGCTGAATCATTAAAAAGTGATATATGATGCTGTTTTATAACTGTAAGATCAGTTTTATTTTCTCATCTAATATATTATATAGCTAATTGAATCAGCTTTAAAAAGAAATTTTTTTATTCAGACAAATTTAAATTGCAAATTCATATAAACAACTTATTAATTCAGTTAGATAAATAAACTTATTCTGTTATTATCCTATTATTTTGTTATTATCTTATTATTTTATTATTATTATCTAGTATGCTATTCATATTTCAATAATTATTTCACTGTATTAATGTTTACCATTAAAGAATACGAAAAGCAAAAAGCCTTTTGTTCCCTTAAAATTATAAATGTAATATATTAAAAAATACTCTCTACTTTACATCTTATTATAATTTCACTCCATAGAATTTAATTTTTCTGTCAATTTTATCCCATGATAACATTTTAATTGCAATAGTTACTTAAGTGGAAATTAACCACTAAATTTGTAGTAAAAAGTTCTTATTTGGGGGTCCCACTCATACCATGAATTAAGTTAACCAAAACAATACAGCTCACCATTTTGCTAAACGCAGCTGAGAACCTCATAAAACGTTACCACCTCTTCTCAACATTTCCATTCCCATCTCAAATTCGTAATAATTTCAAAATTGAGGATTTTTTTTTTTTTTTGTCATTTTGCTAAACAATTAAATGTAGACCAGGTGTAAACAATTCTAGTTCTCATTTATTAAGTAAAAATTATTAATTTTAATTTGCTAAAAAAATCTGATTAAAAAATAATTATCTCTTTAAATATTTAATTAATAACAAATAAGAAGTTAAAATATTAAATAAAAAAAAACTGGCAAATTTCACACATCAAACCTATAATATAATCATCTCTAAATGTTATAGCTTGGGCTTTCAATCTATCCCTCTAGACACATGGGTATTAGATAGGACTCAGTTCATAAAAAGGATATAATAAAAATGAGAAAAAGAAATTGAAAAGTCAGCATAATATATGGGCTACTATCCATTAGGTATGCCCACCGGTTCAGTTTGAATCGAAACCAAATCATACTGTAGATGAATTGAAATTGGACTAGAATTGACGGTTTAAGAGTCGATTAAAGTTTATGTGCATAGTAAATTCTGAACCGGAACTGAATGTTAAACGGCGATTTCAGTCCGGATCGAACTGGAATTTTTTTTTTAAAATTATAATCACTTAGCGTATTTCATAAAATTTAGTATATAATTATATTTTTTTAATACAAATGGGAGTTCAACATTTTCTCCTTTTAAATATTTTACTTAATTCAAAATTACATTGTTTGAAGCATTTTTAAAATTTTTCTAGTAATTTATTTAATTAATAACATTTAGACAAAATTAAAATGATAATTTATTTGATTATTTTATAAAATTAATTAATTAATTGCTTATATGAGTAGGAGTATTCTAAAAGTTATTTAAAATAAATTTAATTTTTTTTAAAATTCACATTAATTTTTTCAAAAAAAAAAGCACCTTAGAATTAAATTTTTATTTTTTAAAAAAAATTTAATACATGTGTAGCTGGAAACCGTGATCGAAACCATAGATTCGTCAAAAATCAATGCCGAAACCGAAATCGATAGTTCAAAGACCGATTCAGATTCAATATTTTAAAAATCTTGAACAGTGGATTCCAAGCCTACTATCCATATGATAATTTTCATGGGCATATATAAGTAAAATTCTACAAACCCAAAAACAAACTCAAAGATTGAAAGGGGACTCGGGGGTTAATTCCATTTATGATAATCAAACTTTGAACTAATTTAATTGAGGCGTTCTATAATTTTCATTTATTATTTTTTAACCATTCAATTTTGATTTTTTAATAAAAAATTATAAACTAATAAAATACCTACTCATTATTAGTTAGCAAATTACCCATCTACATGAAACAAGTAAAAACAGAATGAAAAAAGTAAAATCTACTATTGTATCTTGAAACCTTCTTCGCTCTCTCTTATTTATTCTTTTATAAATTATGCTTTTCCTTATGAAATATTTTAATTTAATACATCATGTTACCATTTGGGTTAATAGATTTCACTGGATGAACGTCTTACTGAAGTTTAAAAATCAAAATTTAATGAATAAAATTAGCAAATTTAATTTGGAAGAATTAGGACTACCAATTAGGTATTATGGATTAATTCTTTTAGACCTACCAATACACCTCTCTTGTAAAAACTCAATTTGTTTTGTCACATTAATTAACAACATAGAATACCTGGCCTTCTTTTAACGGTAAAAGAAAAAGTCTTCATGATGCCATGTAGGATGTTAACAGAATTAGGTTACCTAAAATCCGAATTAATAGTGTTATTCCCCACTTAAAAGACTCTGTCTACTAAATAGAAAATAGAGAACAACCGATTCAAGAGGAACATTGTAAAAAGGCAAGTGCCCAGAATGAGATTCTGAGCCATAGAAGCAAATTTCCACCAAAAAAGCCGGCCTCGGGTTGGATTCAAAGCTTTAAGAAAGTAGCTTTTCATCACTTGGATAAACTAATCACAACCACACAATAAGGTACCAAATAATACATCATGCATAGAGATTTCACAACCCTTGTGTCTGCTAAAGCTCAGTATTTCCTGTCACAGCCAAAATGAACAGAGCAAAGGGCCAACCAAAAAGCTATAAAACACACCACAAATCCAAAAGACTAAAAAACAAAGTAACATGGTATTGTCATCCCCAACAACGCCCACATAAGTAATATTGGAAACACGAAGAAACCAGAGAGATAATATTATGCACAAGTAACAACTGATTTAATACAGGCAGAAACTTGCAACCAGAAAAAGAAATTACAAGCTCTGGACGAACACACGGTCAAAACTGAACAAGAATAACTTAAACAGTGTAATAACAGACAGTTCTTAATTCCAAACTACAGAAAAAAGCTATAGAATCAATGACAAATCAATGTTAAAATTACTTTAAGCCTATCAAAATTATCTCCACACTGTATTTGACAGTCATAACGGTTGTGGCAAAACTCATACAAATAAGTAATGAGACAAAACATCTTTGACTACTTAACAAAACTCAGTGCTCTCTTCTCTTTCATTTGTTTCTTTTCCCCTTTTCCAATCCTCAGAATCTCACGAGTGAATCTCCTTCAATTTCCTTCAGAACGTCCGTCCTCAGTAAGCTGATCATTTTCAGAGCCATCCTCAATTTGCTCAGCACTGCACCCAGTGGAAAACATTTTTCTCAAAAACTATAGCAATCCATCCCAATCTCATGGCAGAACAGCATAGTAAAAAAGAATAGACATAGTACGCAAGCATCTAACTTACTTCATTTCAAGTTGACTTAAGATGCCCAATTGACACATAAGTATTTGTAACACTCAACAAAATTTAATCAAACAAAATACAAAAATGAAAGCTGAAACCACATAATCATAAGCCCTATATGTTTTCTTGTCAGTTTCTATCATATGAATAAAATACAACTAACTTCAGTATTCATTAAGTTTAGAAGGCCGTAGCTCATCTGAACACATCAAACATGAGCGATGGTCCTAACTAAGCCACATTAAGATAAAAACGGCGACCCCTCTCTCCCAATACCACCCAAAACAGCACCGACTCAACTAAAAGCAATTATCCAGTAGCACATAGATTTGATCAAGTGCTGAGACCAAATTCAGTGAATGTGGGAAATTGATGCAAATCAAGTTTAGGGGACAGTAAAGAACGCAATACATGTACTCACACGGCCCACAGATTGATACAAAGAATTCCTAGAGAAGATTTCCGTAGAAAAATGTTGGGGGCTGTGATTCAAATAATGATTCCGTGGATTAGTCCAAGTTAAGAAGAAAAGGAGTCTTTAAGATATATATAATCTCATAAATTAAAAAATAATAGTGGTAGATATCCCAGATTCAGGAGGAAGACCAAAGACGCCATAGGCAGCGCTGAATCAAAATAGCCTTTAAAAGATAATATTCTCATGAGCATAAAGAGATTGGGGTGCTCGAACTAAGTGCCAGTGCATACATTTTTACAGGTTTGAGAACTAAAAGTCTCTTGAACGACAATCAAAAACAAGCAGGAACAGAAACAACTTCCAATCAGTGTCTCATAAAGCTAGCAAATTCAATCATTCAAATTCGTTCCAAGTAAAAAGATCATGAATTTAATCCTTCTAATCAGCAACCCCGTATTGCAATGCAACAAAGGATCAAAACCATAAAAATGAACTAAATTTCTCCTAATTTACCAACTGATAAATCAAAAAGTATATTAATCAAACCTCTGGGGACGAGAACCGGAATCAATTGAATCAGGCTTCCTCCAGCTCCTCTCCACATGCTCATTACCAGAACCCCCACGCCCAAAGCTCCGCTTCCCAAAAGAAGTGGAATTGCCTCTTTCCATTTCTTTATTACCGTTGATCTTGACAGATTCCAGCTTCTCATCAATCTCTTTCCAGTCCTTTCCTTTCTCAGCCAACACTTCCTCTCTCGGCCTCGCATCCCCAAATGGGTTCGATCCTTTTGGTTTCGCTGCGGTGCCGTTATCATTTACAGGCAAGCTACGTGGCTGCAATACAAGCTTCGGCCTTGCAGTTCCTGTTATATTAGTATCCTCTCTCTTCCTTCCCCAGCTGTCCGAATCAGCACCACCAGCACCGCTATTAGAACCATGTCTATCTCTGGATAAAGAATCGAAACTCCCTCTCCTTTCAAATCCACCATTAGTAGCACCAAATCTCCGTGACTCCGTTGGCTTATTCGCTACCCAACTGTCCGATTCATCAGCTTTTGACAGCGAATCAAAGAACGAACCCCTCTCTCTCCTTTCATAGCCATTCCCTACCGGTGATTTCTTCGTCTTTGACCAATCATCGATCTCATCAGCGCGAGAGGGCGCCAATTCTCTGCTCGCGTCCCTATCCCTACTTGAAACCCTAGAATTACCACCGCCCCATCTAGAATTAGACGAATCGTCACCGCTTCGGTTATTCATGCCATACGATTTGAAACCTCCGCCAAGCCTAGTACGGTCGAGCTCTTCAGCGGAGCGTTGGCGTGGCCCGGTCGGGAGATTGAGAAGATCTTCATGGGTAAGGCTTCTAGATTGTTGGCTTGGCTGAGAAGCCTTAGCCGAGAATTCGGCTAATGAAAGAGTTTGGTTCTTCTTCTTCTTAGGCTGTTTTGTGGCGGCGGCGGCTGCTAAGGAAGGGAATTCAGACTCACCGGAAGCAGAATCAGTATTGTTTTGAGAAACCAATGGTTGTTGACGGAGTTCCTCCTCATGTTCTTCAGCGTCGAGAGCCCACGCGCCGGCCTTGCCCCAAGGAGAAGAGACTGTGGCCGCCATAATTTTTGGTGGTGGTGTTTCTCTCTGTGGGAATATCTCTCGGTAGAAGGTTACGAAATTGCGTTACTTGGCAGCAAAGGGCAGAGGCAAGGGGGAGAGTTTATAGAGATGAGGAGATTCTTTAGAATAATGGACGGTGGTGATTTATTTTCTTGATTAGACAAGAAATTGATTTTTTTTTTTTTTCTTTTTTAACGGCTGTAATGTTGGATAATGGCTCTTAGAGTGGCTTTGACCTCCTCCCACCATAATATCATATGCTTATGGGATTTGGATTTCCATTCTCTATTAATTCTTAGGATAAATAATACTTATTCTCTTTTGATTATAATTATAATTCCCTTCCCCTTATTTGTAGTACATTAATTAGTGGTTTTAAAAAAAATTAATTTTAAACTTATCATAAAATAATAAATACATTCTTAATTCTATCTATTTTTTTATTTGTTTATAAATTCCATTCAGTGTATTTTAAAATCATAACTCTTGTAAATGATATTCTACAAAAAGTCCTAAAAGGTTGGTCTAAGGTTAGTGAGAAAGTACTTGAATTATTCTTATACATTGAATTTTATCAATTATGGACAAAATTAATATTTGTATCACTTCCTAATGCTATATTGCATCACATTTTCATGTTCTTTTAATATATGATATGCTTGTGCTCTTGAATTTTAAATATAAAATAAAATAAAAATGGATATTTTTGTTATTCCACGAAATAGAAGATTAATTTTAAATTTATCTTTTTTTTTTTTATTTTGAGTATTGAAGAAAGAGAATTCGAACATAAATTGTGATTTGCATTTAAATGACATAAACAAAGGAAATTGAATGGCTATTGGAAAAAAAATATTAGAGGGGATTATTCTTCCACTTTTCTAATAGTTTGGTTCTAGGCATTTTATTCTTTGTTGATAAGGTTGATCGCTTAAGGCTAAATAGCATGTCTTTTCAAATTAAATGGGTGCCTTCCATGTCACGTAGACTTCAAAATTCTTGGGAGATTAATCGAGAGATTGCATGATGTAATAATAAAACATTATGCTCTAATGGTAAAACTTTAACATTTTTATTAAATATAGTCGATTATTTTAATTTTATCAATCAATCCATATTAATTATAAATCTCATTAATCATTCGTTTAAATTAAACTAAGGTATCTAATAGTTTTCATGAATTGACTCGACAAATATTGTATTCGTGCATACTAACCATTTTACCTCAAATAAAAAAATTTAAAAAAAAAAAGCCAACTTGTTTTCTTTTAAAAGAAAAGAGTTCCATTAAGAAAATAAATTCAAAGAATACAAAAAATCAGGGATTATTTCCCAAATTCAGAAATGAGCATAAAAGATAAGATGCTCTATATTAGTTTATCTTCTAACTCAATATATTAAAATAACGTTCCTACAATTTAAGATAAATTTACGATCATCACAATGTTTTTTAAAAAAAGAAAAAAAAAAAAGCTTAAAAAGTACAGCATCACATCAATATTTTTAAAATAATTTTTATTTCAAAATTATATATATATATATATAAGACTAGAGATTAAGATAACGCCGACTTTGGTCAAAACAATTAAATAATACCTAAAATAACCTTAATGATCAACGTCAAATATTCAACCATAACTAAAAGAGTCGGCTCTAGAACTAACGCCAACTCCTTCAACCCACGACAATAAACACAACTCTCTTTTACCCCACGGAAAACCTTAATCTCTGATCTTCAAGAAAAAAGAAAAGACAGCGATCGCCTGCCATTGGAACAAAAGAAGAAGGAGAAGAAACATCAATACAAACTGGAGGTTAAACAATATCCAAACAGAAAATAAAAACCACATTAGATAAGATGACAAATAAATAAATTACTAATAAAATTAATATTATTTTAATTGTTTAGGTCAAAGTGACATTTAGTCAACTTAAGGAACATTTAGTCAGCGCTGATTCAGCATTTATGGAGCCCACTCATCAAGATTAAGGAAGAAATCAGCTTAATTTAGACGGATGGCCAAAAGAGGCTATAATTAATACAAATTAATTAATGCGATGTTAAAAAAACTCTGCAACGTCAAACTTTGAGATTTTTTGCGATTAGACCATGAATTAATCAATAAAAAAAAACATTTTTGTGTATTTAAGAGTTTCATGACATATATGATTTGCACAAAATTTTATGAAATTTATTTATAAATTTAAATTTTCATGTTTGGCATAAAAATTTAATTTAGAATTACAAATTTTTATACTTGAATTAAATTCTACAAAACTTAATAGAATTTATAAATAAACTTTAAACTGAAAAGAAGTACAAACTAACTAAAACTAATAAATTCTGGGTACAAATTAAAATATTTAGAAATGAAATTCTATAATTGATCTGAAAATGAAAATTTATTTGAAAGTAAAATAAGTTCTATTTGAATTTTTTCGAAACACTATTTAAGTTAACTTTCTCTCTAAATAATGTAAAAGGTTAGAAAAACAAAATCTTTTTACTTTTGAAGAATTTTAAAACTAAAATTTTATAGCTACAAAGTAATCCATTTTCAAAAAATTATAATTTATAACATTCATGGGATACTTTTGGTTTTTTAACCATTCGGTGTCCGAAATCCATTGGCCGACTAATCTAGATTCACGCCGAGCGTGAATAGGTTCATAAGAGGCGAAAGACGTTTCCTCCCAAGTGTTTAAATATATCTATATTCGTATTTGCTCTACAAAGATTTTAATGATTATGAATCAGATTGGAATTGGAGATAATGATTTAAAATATAAGCGAAAAAAAAGACGAACAAAAAAATAAAGACAATTATCAACAATTTTAGAAATATAAGAAAAAGGTAAAATTGCTTTTCACCGATTATATTTGAATTAGATTATGCTATATATGTACGTTGTCCATATCCGTATTGAATTTTATTTTAAAACTATATCCAATCCATCACCAAAATGGATCGGATTTTATCTACTCCATTTAGATTGGATAAGACCGGATATTCAACGGATCTAATCATTTAATCATTCCTAGTTAAGATCCATTAACCGGAGGCATTTTTATATAGAATATTTAACTAAAAGAGGTTAAAGTAAAATAACAATTTGTCCATAAACTATAAAAACTGCGATTACATGTATGATACTCAAATAATAAACAAAATTTTTATCTTTTAAGAATCTAAATATAAAATGTCTAAAATTTAAACCTGTTATTTTTTTGTCAATCCAAATATTTTCCTCTATATTCGTATTTATATATAGGCAAATATTTTTTTTATATCTTAATTCAATCCACCCACAGGTTTTACGAGATTCAAAACAGTATGCTTTGCATACCTACTAAAAAAGAATTGACCTTGGGAAAATAAATTAAATATGAGATACTCTAATTCATTAATTTAGTAAGTTATACAGTTAGTTTACAATGTTACCTTGTAACGAATTAAATTAAGTATTTAAAAGATTAATGATTATTATATTCATTAATAAACTTTAAGCTAAAAATTTTACATAGCTGCAAATTAGGTGATATATATGAAATGCAATCCAATAATTAAATGCTAAAATTGTATTGAGTTTTTATTAGTCTTTGATAACTTTTTTAGATTTACTTTCTTAGATCACTATAATAATAATAATAATAATAATAATAATAATAATAACAATATAAATAAACATATTTAATAATTTGCGTTAATAATTAGTTAATTACTCTTTTCATGCCGAAATATAAATCATTTAAAATGATTATTTTGTCCTAAAATATAAGACATTTTGAATAGGGAATAATACATGATCATTTTTAATTTTACCCTTATTTATATTAGATATAATAATTATCTCCATAATCACCGTTGATTTTAAGGTGAATGATAATTTGATCAAATTACCTTTAATCTTATTATAATTTAAGGAAATTAATTATTTACTTAATCCGTATAAAAAATTCAGCATATATTTTAGAATCGAGGGAGTAAGAACAAAAATTAAAAAAAAAAAAATCAATAGCCAATAGCCTTTTAACATATGATAGATGTGTGTATAATACCATCAGAAGCATTGCTTACCCGTTAAGCTCTTGCAAGAAAGAAAACATAGTTTTGCCGACATGAGTTTTGGCATTTCTAGCTTTTGTTGTCAAGCATCCTAGTATTTCAGATAAACATGTCCACCCCAGGCCAGCAATCCAAGAAATTCTTAGGTAAGTTCAATTTACCACATCAGCAATATATCTACCCAACGAAGCAAAAGCAACGGTTTGCTTTTCTTTTTTTTCCACTTATTTTCTACTACTCCTTTCAGGTCTTCCCTTTGGTTAGATATATAAAATCTAATTGTTGGAAGTTATTGACGTGAATAGCTAGTGTTAGACTGAATCTACATAAAAATTTATCCAACTAGTGCATGCGCATTTTTGCAAAATAAGGTATAGAATCCGTTCAACTTGATTTTGAACCGAACCAAACTGATTAAACCAAATATCAAACTACTATTTTTGCAAAAAAAAAAAAAAAAAAAAAAAAAAAAAAAACAAGATGGCTTGTGGGCTTTCTTTCAAACCATTCCGAAGCACTCCGTAAAGTCCATTGGGTCGCCGACACTTAACATCGCTAAGATCCTTCACGCCGTATCGAGTGAATGATGAGTTCTATAAGGACACGTTGCCGTCCACTGACGAATTAGCAGCGTTTTCCTGGCCTTCCCAGGACGTGGTTTAGAACTAAAATCTTATATTCGTATTTGCTTTCATGAATCAAAGATTTTAATAGCATCTTATTGTGAAGATCAGAAATTGGCGATCACTCTGCTTGGAAGATTAATGATTTGTGTAAAATATTATAGCGAATTATAAAAGACCGAAACAAATATAGAGATACCTAAGATATATTATCTAAACATTATCTCCTATTTATGATTCCTAAGTACCCATAGAAAAAAAAAAGGATAAAAAATTGCTATTTACTCACCCAGTGATTATAAAGTTCATGGAAATTGGACCGCTATTAATGTCCACTATAATCTATTGATTTAGTCAACGTATCGCTGTCACTAGTAAGTTTCTCGATTATTG